CAGTTCCGTCAGCAAAGATGCCTGACGCACTCGAGAACCTCGGCAAGTAATAACCTAAACGTGTTGTTGTACTGAAACCGAGCGTATTCAACACCTTTTGGGTATAGCGTACCCTTGTATCTTGGATCTTGTACGGACAAGACAATCGTTTGTTTTGCTGTTCATGAGTAGTAGATTTCGGCATAATTCGTGTTTATACTCACTTTCTTATATTACGAACAACAACAGACGCATTGAGAAAAGTCTCAAAAGGCATTCACCTCTTTATTTACTCGCTATCGGGTCGTCAGCCCCGTCCTTATAAATTGCTTCGATAATGCGGTATTTGCATATCGTATATGATCGCCCAGGCGCAAACAATCCACCTTATAACGCGAGACAATATATGCGTAACACAATGTCTGCCTACTCAGTGTTATTTGCCCTTGAGTAAGCTTAAAGCTCATTGTAAATAAATATAATGCATATAATTCTGAGGTGATTATACTTAAAGCGATAAATCTAGTTTCATGAGCTATCAAACCATTATCTATGTGAAGTTTAACATATTTTTTGAGTTGTTAAAAAAATAAATCAGTGGAACCTTTTTAGGTCGGCGCCTAAAGCCAGGTATCCACTATGTTCGCGAACCTCTTGCGCTCCGCGCACTTGCAACAGCTCCGCGTAGTGGATACGTTTGCGAACGTGGAGCGTGAACGGTGCGCAAACGTATCCACTACGCGGAGCTGTTGCACCTCACTATGTTCGCGAACCTCTTGCGCTCCGGGCACTTGCAACAGCTCCGCGTAGTGGATACGTTTGCGAACGTGGAGCGTGAACGGTGCGCAAACGTATCCACTACGCGGAGCTGTTGCACTTCTTGCGCGAATCTCTTTGCGCTCCGGGCACTTGCAACAGCTCCGCGTAGTGGATACGTTTGCGAACGTGGAGCGTGAACGGTGCGCAAACGTATCCACTACGCGGAGCTGTTGCAGGTGCGCGGAGCGCAAGAGGTTCGCGAACATAGTGGATACCTGGCTTTAGATTTCTGTATCTGTTTCACCGTTCGAGCGAATGTTAAATGTGGACATAGAAAGAAAATCCATTGGCGCACCGCCGGAGCTCTACCTCAGGGATGAGAATCGCACGCTGAAGCCAGTAACACCAACACTGCTTTTATGGTGTTTATACCCTATCTTTAAATAATATTGATTATATTTCTTAAAGAAAAGCTTTCAGTATTCCTTAGTAAATTGCCGTTATCAAATTATTAATTAGTTCTCTTTTCATAATTCTAAATTCTGTAGATTTTAACTCCTATTAAGCCTAGAAATGCAGTAATTACTTAAAAACAAAGGATAGATAGAACCAATAATATTAAAATTTCGTTTTCCTAAACACATCGTCATACAGAGAGATCTGTTTTAATTTAAATAATTACTCTGACAGCCTTACTTAAAATACAACGGGAGGTAATTTAAAATTAAAATCAGTCACGAGCCGAGCCACGTTGAAGATCAACAGTATTTTATTCAATTTGTGATCCAATATTGTAATTTGTTGCGTAATTTTTTCACATCTAAAGTTAAATTTATTCAATTAGATTTACCATATTATTAGACACAAAACGTAGAAATGAAACTTGTATGAAACAACTTTATTAAGACGCTAATTAATTCTTAAGTTAATAAAAATGTTAGTAATTTTTAAAATGCAGATAACGTCATGACCGGCAGCTTTAACTTATATTTTAGAGTAAATAATTTATTATCATTATATTTAAAGTTGATGTTTATAAAGAATTTACAAATGTAGATGGCTATAATAGAGAATTATTATTTTGCTAAACATTCAATACTACTACCTTTGGAACAAATTGATATATTCATACAATCAATTCATTTCAAAAATAGCTGAATTCATTTTAACTTCATGGCGCAATGTTCCTTATCAGAGTGGACAATAAATATTATCTTAATTGATAAACTACTTTAAACATAGATAGCCGATTACATCGATGTTCGTTATCGTTTGAAAACAACAAATTATAGGACAAGCACAAAAATATAGAAATTTAATATAATAATATGAGGCCTCTACAAAAATAGGTAAATAGTAAGCAAATTTAAAATTATACAGCTATATGACAGAAGTGTTAGTCAGACAAATAAATTTAAAAATTAGGAGGAAGTACGAGTGACTCTTTGCCCCATTGTGTGCCCTGTTGCTAGAAGTTGCTTGAAGATAGATATTATAACCTAATTAGATTTAATTTTATTCTTTAGCGATGCGGGTTGTAAATCACAAATACAATAATTGTGAAACATTATGCGTTAGGGTGTATTGCAGGTTATCGCACTGAAACCAGCCTTTTAATGTTTACGCCTGTGGATAGACTATACAGTAGAACCCGAAAGCTAAAGTCCAAGGGAAACACAAAATATTTTAAGTTATAGAGGTTTTAAGTTATCAAGGTTCATTCTTGGCAGACTGATTTGCTAACGCTCGCACTTTCGCCGCATATTTAAAGGCTAAATCATGCCGTTTCTTAAAATTCTGTAACCAGCCATTGCTGGCTTTAAAATCTTTGATTTTCAGAGAATTAGGAACTCTTCAGCTTTTTCTTTCAGTATGGGTCCACTAAACTGATGTTTTTGTTTCGACATGTTTGAACCAAGTATACAAACATTGTTCTAAATTAGGAATTCGGCAATTTTTCGTCTTTTACATTGAAGACTTTCTCCTGATCTTCTTCAAGTTTAGCTTCTTTTTAATGATGATAGAAATGTATATGTATTCCAAACTAGGCAACTTTTTCCTTTTCATCCATTTTTCACTGCTTCTATAGCTTTTAATTTATCAGCGTAGGTGAGGGTTGTAGTTTTCTTTTGACTCATTTAAGACAGTTTTATCACACAGTAAGTAAAGGATGTTCCAGGACAACGATCAAAAAACTTATGATGAAGTAAGTCGTTGTCACAAAGCTAACCGCCGCAAAGCTTTGAAGAATTTAGATAAAGCAAACAATAGGTAATGTATTGTTTACGTTAACAATACATAGTAAACACGTGCAAGCAATAAATACCGAAACCATTTGTTTTGACACTTTTTTCAAAATGACTCATTCACAAACAATTTTATGTTATAGAGGTTGTGGAAACATTTCTTTTAGTTACTGAGGGCCTATACAGAGATTATTTATTTAAGTTATAGAGGTTGCGTATTTTAAGTTATAGAGGTTTGGGCCTGATGGGAAGGGAACATAGTATTTTTGAAGTAAAGAGGTTTTTATGTTACGAGGTTTGAGTTATCGAGGTTTACTATAATTCTCTGAGTAAATCACTGTACTTTGGGATAGTACTCGCACCTATGGCAACTATTATTGTTTTTTTTTAATTATACGCTACTGAAATATATATATGTACCTATGTTTAAAAATTAGTATCTATCCGAATTTTTCTAAAAATGCTTTTACATTAAAATTTTACTATTTTATTATTAATAATACTCTACTCCCCTGCCATTGTGTCCAGATACTTTTTATATCTTTCAAATTTAAAAAAAATAAAGACATTATATTAATTACAATAAACGTTCACGAATGGTGTGTTACGCGTGACCCCGGCTACATCGGTAATATTTTTATTTACAATATTCATGGGCGAGCCGAGGCGCAATTCCTCTCGAGACCCGCTCTTTCAGTTTTGTTTGCCGTTTTTATATAATTCATATTTTTTGCGCAGAACCGTTCCAGGCACGGTCTGTGCTTTATTAACATGTCCAAATTGTACTATTTTAAACATATATCTTTACGATAAAGTTAATCTTAAACCAAGTATAAAGTCTACGTGTGATAACCGATCTGATGAATGTGCAAAGTACATGAAACTGGACCTACGACATTCTTAACTGCATTTGCGTCAGAGTTTAATAACATACTCGTATAATGAATTGTGTGTTATTTCCGTTTTACAAATATAAACGTTTTAAATTTAATTTTTGGTACAATTATAATTTGATACGGTCACAGTTGTTAATTTATAAAAATGTATTCACGTCCATACTTAAGGTTAATTACCTTATTTTTACAATTATTTTACAGTTATTATTCCAAAAAATAACTTTTTGTGTTCGCCCAAGTCAAACGTTTGTATAGGTGATTTGTGAGGAAAAACCTTCCTTTTTGTAACTTTTGTAACCATATTTTCCGATATCTATTTCAATACGAAAGATAAAGGTACGTTATAGTGAGTTTCCTAATTTCACTTACAAATAAGACATATACTGACGAAAGGTTTAACTTTGCATTTAAAAATTATTCATTTTCACCTTGACCTTTATTTATATCTTAAAGAGGGTGAATATAAAAATATGTACATAACTTATAAAGAATTTGAGTGCCTTTTGGACCTCTCACCTTCGTACTCAGTTCGGACGAATTAGAATATATATTCATTTAATACCTTTAAGTGAGCAAATAGCTAACGTTATCCTATAGAGATTAAGGCCGAATATATTCTACTTCTAGCACTAGTTATATAGGTGATACGTTTTTATTAAAACTGAAGGCTATACTAGACGTAGGCGTGAGTGACCTAATGCAATTCCACAAATCCTAGATTTAAAATCTTCAATCAATTATGCATGATACGTTACAATTTTACGATGTGATAGCATCTTGCTTACTCACAATATTTGAATATTGATATAAGCGGTTCAAGGCCACCTCACATGAATAATTCAATGCGTAATTTGAAATGAGGCTGAACGCACAAAGTAGGTAATTGCTAATTTGTACGATAGCAACTAATTAAATGAAGCATGTTCATAACAATGTAAAGAAGGGAAAGTGTTGTTATAGACAGTTGTTGTAACCAAACTTAACTTTCAAACGTTTACATTAGTCGCACTTAATGAGAAAGAACAAATTATTTATTACGTTCCTGTTAAACATTTTTGCAAAGCATCAAATAGCAGAAATATATATTTGCGTTTCTTAACACCCCTGTTTGTTGGCAGGCATGAAAATGACCATGTCCACGTCTGCGACTATGAGCGCCCGCGTTCACAGGAAGGTAATCCGAGCGCCGCATAAACGTGCACACACCGGCAAATACCTACACGCGGGCAAGATGGCGCACCCCGGCAAAGGTGCGCATCATCCCGGCAAATTTGCGCACCTCGGCAAATTCGGCAAACTCGCCCAGTACGCCCACACACACTTACTAAGACCCCCGGAGCCGTGCGAGAACAGCAACGACAGCGGTTTGGGCCCCGACCACAGGTGAGACATAATCTTTCAAGTTATTTGGAATGTTATGTTTATGCGAACATGTTATGCTTTTGTGACCCCTGTTACTGCTTGTCTTTGTTATTGATTGAAATGTATTGTCTTTATTAATTATATATTTTAATAAACATTTCCGTCATTGTACTGTTGTCTATATATGTTTATTATATCGACGGGAAGCAGTTTTACTTAATTGTAACTTGTTATGCTTCTTGTGAATGCCATACAGCCAAACCGCTAATATACATCACCATATTAATTATTTGTGTCGTAAAATGCATGTTTACTAATATATTCAAGGAAATACAGTTTTTAGCGGAAGGTGAGGTGACTTAATAAACAAGTATAACTATAGCATATATTTTTAATATAGAGCAATATGGTCGGATATAATTTTATTACATTATTTATATAACAAAATTAGTATATGACCACGATTTCTGTAAAGCTATGTCGACTTATAAGGAATAGTAGCGTTTATGTTTAAGAATGTATGCAAATATATACTATATAATCAAATAACTGAACGCATTATGATATGAATATAAGAACCATCAGCTCGAAGATGGTATTGATTTGTTTTAATCGTAATGTTTGCTCTAGATCTTATCTTACTGCGTTGAACATGAAAACTGTATTTCACTTTGATACATGTGTAAATAAAGCACGTTATCAGTAACAACAATTCGTAGAACAGACTAAGATTACATCAGATTGAAGTGACTTGTCTGTCTAAGTTTACACCAAAATCGTTATAAATGGTGAAAATTAGTCATTAAACTAATATGTATTATCAATACTAAATATACTTAATCAGTGTTTCGCAAAAATCCAAATATGTATTGTTATTATTTAATTTACGTTTACAATTATTAACATAAGGTACATTAGCAGTACGTAAAACAGTAATACATTTTCGTAAGAAAAACTTAGTACCGAAAATGCATCGTTCGAATCGAGTAAAAATTTTATGGAGAGAATAAAAATTCTTATACGAATTGAAGAAACTTAAAGTTCGCAATAAGGGCTTTGTTTCACCACGAAACACCTACATATAAATGCGATTCGAAATTTAAAATATTAATTTTAAGTATCGAAATTAGTGAAAGTCTCATACGAAATGTATAGTCCAAGATCCCAGAGCGATAACACACAACTTATTTTCTAAAGCATAGAACCTTCGGTTCTAAGTAGTCTCTGGTGTGCTTTTTAATACCTGTACGCTTATGGACTTGGCTCGGTGACACCTGCGCAGGTACCAGGTGAGAAAGGTAACTAAAAATCAGAGTTACTTAAGTTAAATTTTAATGACTGATTTTTATATATATTTTGTAGAATATTACTCTGAAGTAATATCAAAAAAGTCAGACGCTTTCCATGGGCCAGAACTTTTGTTAGACGCTTTAAAGCTCTACAAAAAATAAATGAACTTAATTTATTTTTAAATGTCTGATTTTTATATATGTTATTCAAATAAATATTACAAAGCTATATTTAATCAGTCAGACAAATTGTAATGACCAAACATCCCCTAAACACAAAAATTACTCAACTATGATGAACTGATTTAAATACCTTAGTATCCGTTAACTTTTAATGCAAGTGTGTGTGCACCCTGCATAGTAATATTTTTTTCTTCAGATGTCACGATCCATATACATAACGTCGCTGTAGGCTGATAAGCTCGTATGTCCAGAGAACCATACATTACAGGAAACGAAAAAAATCTTTCATTTCGTCAATGTTCGTTAAAATATTGATTTGTATTTTTGGCCATTGTTTTTGATGATAAAAAGGACCTATTTAGTAATAACATAAATAAGTCTTTACTTCATTATTATACCAGTTAAATGACATAAGAGTCTAAGAATAAAAAATAAATGGTTTTTTGACATATGAGGTTATCATTCTACGTATATAGTGACGATAAGTCATTTAGAAAGTATAGGTAAAAATTAAACTGTTGTCGATTAACAAAACTAAGATGGATTTAATTTGACCTTCGTAGATAACCAAATTGAATAGAAAATGTTTAATTGCAATAACAGATCCGAAGTTTTATAAATACTGATAGATCTGATCCCTATTAATTAATTACAAACGCAATTCTGTCTTACAAAAAATGAATTCACTTGTTAATTTTTTTAAATTATTAACTAGCTGCCCTCGCGAACTTCGTTTCGCTGCCCCATAGAGACTACGCTTTTTTGGAATAAAAACCCAAGCACTAAATTTTTCAATTTTCTTTTTATATTTTTCGAATTTTTCTCTCAATAAAACCTTTCTCAGAGTTCAAGGTAAAATTTTAAAAATACTCGAGTTGGTCAATTGTGCGCCTTTGTCGTTCTTAATTTTCAATCAAAGATATAGCTATGTAAGCGGGACGTACTATTTTTGGAGTTTACTCCTTAAGAAACGATTTGAGTTATAAGGCCCGGTACGGAAATTTTATGAGGAGTAAAATCAAGTGTGACACGAAAAGTTGAGGCGTTATGTAGAAAGAGACAAACATATAGAGTTTACTCCTTAAGAAACGATTTGAGTTATAAGGCCCGGTACGGAAATTTTATGAGGAGTAAAATCAAGTGTGACACGAAAAGTTGAGGCGTTATCTAGAAAGAGACAAACATATATATCTGTAGGATTGAACGTGTAAAAGAATGAGATGGAATACATTACACAGACTTTTCTATTTTGAATTCACGTTTTGACAGCCACCTTACAACATTGTCAGTGTTTCTTACCACCTTTAGTATGAAAATATGGTCGACAGCCACAGAACATTATCGCCATTTTATCGTTCGTAAGGAGTAAACTCCAATCGTGCGTCGTAGCTGACACACACACACTTTTTTTTATTAAATAGCTATGTATTAACGACCACCAAACCGTTCTTTGTGGTACATAATTTGTAGGTAAACTAGCTATCGCGTTCTACACCCCATAGAGTGTATCAAGCAAACATCAAACGAAATATTATTTGTAACCACGCCTAATATACCTAGTCTTTCTTATCTGGAAACCGCAATACATTAGCATGTTGTAACATAACAAAATGACATGGAATTGGTAATTGTTTGATAAAATACGTTATATCACCTTTATTTTGTCTACGTATTTACATACGAGAATATTAAAAACAATATTATTTAATCAAACATATGATTCGTTAAACTTTTAACTCTTTATGGCCCGAAAAACTAAATTACGACCGTGCATCGTTCGCATAAAATTGTATGAAAAGTTTGTGACGCTTATTGTAGGATTGACGCCTTTGAGATGTGGCACTGGAGGCGCATATTAAGAATACCGTGGACTGTGAAGCGCATCGATACATCGATCTAAACGCCGCAAACGCACCCGCCTGTCTACCGTATGCCACAACAAATTATATCTTTTTGCGGCCATACAATTCGCAGAGGCGATGAGAACTTGGAGAAACGGATCGTTGTTAGTAACATAAAAGATCACATGGCTGCTCACTACCCAGATGATCGATCAAGCGAAAGACTCGTCGTCCTCAAAACTGTACATTGTAATAAGAGACGCGTTGGACAGAAAGCGGTGGAGACTGATTGTCCGCTCCAGATTTTTCCTTGCTGACCACGATGCTCAGATAAAACTATACTTAATTTTACAAACGGAAGACACATTGAAAATCTATACGGTACAATTTATCAAAACTAAAATTGCATATTCGTACTAAACTTTTCATTTTTGTGTATACTAGACTACTAGGTATTATATGTATGTAGTTTTATGTGCAAGGTTTTAAAACCAATATTTCTAAAACAGTCACACACAAAGGTGTCTAAAACGCTAAGTACTTGACAACTATCAATACAGAATATATAGATACTGATGAATTGTTTACCAACGCGGTTTACTGTGTTATAACAGATAAAATTAATGTAACCACTACTCTGATATTGCTTGGCTATTAATTGTGACTATTATCAGGGTTATAAAACTAGATGGAACTTAAAGTACATAATAATATACTATTTTTATTCAGATTTAATTTGACTGAAAATTGAAGAATGCCTTTCGTAGTACTATGAGTAAAGAAAAACTGATTAGTTATGTGTAAAAAACCGATATTTCACTTTTTTCGCCCGTCTCACGTTTGTGCTCATCGTTTAATGGTCCTGTTAATAGATCGTGTCGGATTTATTCTGTGGACATTTTCAGCATGGAGCCCTTTTGCCGTTCATTTCGCAGAGCAGTGTTGGCCTAGTGGCTTCAGCGTGCGACTCTCATACCTGAGGTCGTAGATTCGATCCCGGGCTGTGCACCAATGGACTTCAGTCTATGTGCGGATTTAACATTTGCTCGAACGGTAAAGGAAAACATCGTGAGGAAACCGACATGTCTTAGACCCAAAGAGATATATAGAGACGTGTGTCAGGGCACACGAGGCTGGGCGCTACTTGCCTACGATGATTTAAATTTGTCTGACAAAGATTTACTAGAAATCTAGATCAAGACCTAAATATGTTTGTAGCGCCACTGAGATATTTATTTTATTTAGCCTGTTCGCCGTGTCGTTTTAGAAAAGCTGTGTTAATTTATTTGACGTCTTGAATTTTCTTTAGTTCCTACATAATTAGGTATTTTTTCAGTTTTTAATTCGCGAATGAGGTGACAAACATTAATTTTTTAATCAAAGTGAATTCCAGTGGGTTATTTGGGGCGATAATAAGGTAACTTTTCACTCGAATTTTTTAGAAAGCGTATGAAGGATAAAGCTAAAACCAAAACTTGTTTTTCTCATGTTTATTTTTCACACATGCAATATGTTCTGTAACATGTTTGAGTACAAAAATTAGATAAAAATAAAACACAAATTTGCCATTTAATTATCTGCGATCGGACTTTTAGTTTTGCCGTAAATCGAGAAAAGGCCGCATGTTTTGCCCTATTATGTTCCCCAGTTTAAACTCAACTCATCCCGACCTCAGATCTACCGTCTTTTGTTTTTGCTTTTTCCGTTGAATCAAATTCCCTCAGGCCATTCTATATGGTTTCTTATCCTACTGGGTCATTTTTTTGTCAAAGAAAGGATCAGAACTGGTCTATAATATAGCTAGCTTTATACAAATAATATATAAGAAGGGCTTATATATTATTTGTATAAAGAATAATTTATTATTAAATATAATTTTGTTATTCAGTTTTTCGTATTTAGCTCAATGTCGAGGATTAAACTGTTTTCACAAGCGAAAATAACCTTCTTTTACAATTTTACCGCATGCGCTAAAGTTATTAACACCATTACTAATTTATTTATAACTTTAAAATAACTGAGAGTAGTCCAGCGGCTTCGTGCCAAAAATATCACAAGTTAAGCTAAAATTGGATTGCGAATCCTCGTTCTTAATTGTATCAATGGTTTCTATTGAGTTATTTAGTTTTTTTTTATATTAACACTCAGTAAAAGTAAAGCTTAGGAAAAGCAATATATAATATTAATTATAATATGAGAAACTCTAAAGAGAAATTAGTCTGAGAGCGCCATTCATTACCAACGAGTTCGACTCTTTAGCGGTTTTATTTACGTTTCAAATAAACTTTTTAGACTTAAGGCAGACAAGTACACATTGGTTAGACAGGAAAACATTGACATACTTTACTTTTATTAAGTCAACGAGTTTATTCGTGTCCTTCCTCGGTATAAATAATTGTAACGCCACATCGCGCTCAGTTGACCATACGAAGACGGCTTTTGTAAAATCAATTCCATATATAGCCTAAGATCAGACCTCGATCTAAATTTAATAGTCCAATAACCTAACCCCTGATGTATTTTATAGTGAAATTCCCTGATTGTTTTAGTTTAGGATGATATTTTCTTGGTCAGTATATAAAGTCTTAATAAGTTGTAAATAACAAACATTACTATTAATAAAACATTTCACTAACTTTATTTTCAAACTTTTGGCTGAATTATTTATTATAAATCCAAAAGTGCCAAAATTAAAAATTGTGACGGATATGCGCAGATTGTCAGATGCGCCTGAAGACTGGGATCAGCCTGACGCGAAACGTCGTCGTGTCGATTCAGATGTTAAGGTCGAGTGTGACGACGCGAATGATGCGTACTCTTTCGCACCGCCGGTGGCGCCCGCAACCGCGCCCGCTCCGCTGGACGCCGGGTCCGCCACTCTGCCCTCGCCTGCGTACGTTTCAATTTAATACGTTTTCTTCAGAACTGTGGACACAACGTTGAAGTGACTCCGATCGCTTAGAATGCTGCATCCATAGCACTTCAAATTCATCCACCTTCCATCCAACGTAGATCGTCCTAATGAATCATCATTTACATAATTCGTTGAACTAAAACACTTGATGTTCACTTGTATAGTACCATTAATTACCATTACCTTATTTAAAGTAGTTTACCTAGATCCGTATATTGGATATTTTGTACTTTTACAACAAACTTAGTCAAACACTATATTGTGAATCATTTTATATCATCCTGTCCAAAAATCAGGTACATATATCCAAAAGTCTATGTTCAAAATACTAACTACTTGTTTTATTATATATAACATACAGTAAATAACAAACCCGTATTTTTTTAATCTTTCGCCTGACTTTTTATAATATATTTTTTCAGGATACGAGCTGGTTGCAGTATATCTAGTCCAACAATATCAGAATCACCGAGTAGATTTCAAGAACCGTCATACAGATCGTGCGGAAAGGTGGGCACGTCTGGTAAGCTTGCCAGCAAGTACGCCACAGGGGGCAAGCTATCTGGTAAGCTGGGGGGCAAATACGGGGGTAAACTGGCGCAGGCTCTCGCCAGAAGAAGAGCTCTTGCGATGACGCATGCCGGGCCTCCTGGTTTAGCCGCGCCACTGTCGAGCAAGTCCAAAGATGGCACAGTGGAGTTACAGATACTGTGCCAGCCCGAATCGCAACACAGAGCGAGGTGAATATTAAAACCCTTAACGCCTCGAGTCGCATATAAAGTAATCCAAGATACTGCATATTATTCCTTTATCGAAAAGTTCTAAACAAAGAAATCTATCGCTGAAGCCTTAATGTTGTTAATACATATAACAATTTTGCCAGATAGAAATGCAAAGCCTATCAACTACTTCCATGTACTAATTATTTTGTTGGAAGTTTACGGACAGTTATTATTTAAGTACGACTCGTTCCGCGTTAATCATATTGTGGAGTGGCAATATAATTGTTTGACTCCTTATTAATTCCAGATATCAGACTGAGGGAAGCAGAGGGGCTGTGAAGGACAACTCCGGTAATGGTTTCCCAATAGTGAAGCTAGTTGGTTATGATAAGCCAGCAGTTTTACAGGTAATATTTTTTTCTTATAGTCATAGACTCTATTTTAACAATCTGCTTTGATCTCACAGTTTAGCAAAAAACTCAACTGAATATGACATAATTAATATATGAATATTATTATTTTTATTATTGAATATTCTGCCAATTTGTCCTAAAAGTTAGAGTAGAAGTTACAATAATTACATTATGAGTACTTTCATTATAGTCAATTCTTATATTACTTTACCACTACATCATCACGTTAATATAATATTACGTTATGAAATTAATATTAATTATAATGTTTCACGCAAATAATAATCATTGATATTATAATACATTTTATTCCAAAAGGTAGTTTTAAGTCGATTTTTAAAAACTCTAGTGGGACTCTAGAGATTTTAATTCTTTAACATGGATATATGTACTGAATTACCTTGGTGTAATGAATAACTAACATAGAAAAAGTATATTTATACACAAACAGCCCATTCGTTCTTGCCTCATAATTTTATAAGCCCAAAAAGCACTTTCGCTCAGGCTCGAACACAACATAGCGTAGGTCCACTCAAGCGACGATATCAGTCAGTATCATTCAATATCAATTATGTTATTATACTAATTCATATTGCTGTTAGTGACCGTGTGTCCCAATATAATTTTGAACAATTCGTTTCAAGGCCAAAGACGAGGAAGCACCTTGTTACAGCCTATCTTTTATTGCGAATGGTAATATGATTATAATACTGACAACATTATACATTTGTCGTAAGATGTACTTATTACTTGATATTACGAATGTAATGAAATAGGTTAAATACTTATTTTATTTATTTAATTATAAGTAATCTTACAGCTAACATACATGTTCTAAAACAAAACACTTAGACAATACAGAAAGCCAAAACAGATTACATAGATAAACAATATATACGAAAGAGAAAACAAATAAGTACATTACTAGACAAAACTATATAAAGAAAACTGAAATTTAACATTTAAAACAACAAATAAATAATACTTAATATTTTAAACTACTGCTTAAATAAAATCAGAGTCTTACCGCCGCTTCAAATACTTTCTCACATCTTCTTTGGTGAGGTGGAAAATATCAATATCCTCATAATTGGTGCCATTGTTAGATTAAACCCGAAACATTGGCGAATTATGCAGGTAATTCGAGTTCGTACTAGGCATATGGAACAATTTTGTGTGTCTTGCCTAATAAGGACGAGGAATTTTTTTTTTTTTACCGTTATAACTTTACTCCATTATAGATTTTTATCATTTTTCCGTCCTACACAAAAATATTTATTCTGTAGATCGTAGTACTAAATTTGATAAAAATATTCCCTAGAAAACCTGGTTCTCAACTGACGAAGTATGCGAGGACTTTCAATAATAAGAAATATCGAGATAGTTAAGTGTGAAATTTAGTTGTCAAAATTTTTATCAATGAGGGTGTATCTTGTAAATATTAAAAACTACAATTTATCGTTTTTAATTAAATTTCTGATAATTTATTACAGGTATTTATCGGCACAGACACAGGCCGAGTGGCGCCACACATGTTTTACCAGGCGTGTCGAGTGTCAGGCAAAAATTCAACTCCATGTAAGGAGAGAAAGGAAGATGGTACCGTCGTCATAGAAATCGACCTGGAGCCACCCAAGAACTGGCAGGTCACCTGTGACTGTGTCGGGATTTTGAAGGTATGTTTCTATGTTTAAAATAATTATCAGGATACAAGAATATTATAGAATATTCTTTACCAGATTTGGACATTGTACTAAACATACACTTTGATTATTGCTAAAAGAAAACGAAAATAATATTTAATTATGTATATTAGCGTCACAAATAAAACATATTTATCCTTCAGACATTCTGTGAGAGATTTGATAACTTTATTCATAAAAATATTCAAGACATTTACCTTGACCGAATTCATAAATTCATTGATGTAGAAGTTTGGCAACTTCACTTGAACAAAGTCCTCAATGTCGCAAAAAATATTCGTGTTGAATAATTTTGTAAATTTGTATGTTTCTTCAGTAAAAAGGTTTATTGTAATTTTAATATGGTTATTGTATTATGTAGCTTTACCCACTTTTAAATGTTTCTTACTGGTTTAATAATTTTATCTAACAAAATCATAGCCTATACAAATTTTAAACTACAAAGCCACGCGAACGATGATAAGCAATCGGACGTTAATATAGTAGCATCGCCCTTTGTCCCCAATCTTCGTCTTGCACTATCTAGGGTCAATGTGCCGATTACTGGAGCACACATATCTTGACAATAGACAGCCCTCGGAACTATTATCATTTTCCTGTTGCCACTTCTAGCTACTTTGCCCTTTGAATGATTTTTGTTCAACCATATCATGCGATCTTAAAATCTTTTCGCTTTATGCTAGCGTATTGTATGGTTACAAATAATTTCGCTTATCTTATTTAATATGAAGCTTTCTGTATAAATATTTAGGCTAAAAATTATTTATAAAATGCAAGCGTAATACAAATTACATGTTTCTGTTTCTAGGAGCGTAATGTAGACGTAGAACATCGTTTTGGAGAGTCATTAGGAGGAGCGGGAGTGAGCGGCCCCCACGCAGCTCGAGGGAAGAAAAAATCCACCCGCTGTCGCATGGTCTTTCGAACTGAAATAGTTGACGCTGCTGGACGTTCTGAAACTTTGCAAGTGTGCTCAACTCAAATTATATGCAGTGAGTATGAAACTTGCTGCTTACACATTTGAACTAGATGCTAGCTTAGTATAAGAAAAATCCAAATCCTGACATTTTTTGCACTAAAGGGACTTATTACTAGTGATAGTAGTTTAAACAAATTAGCTAGATCAAATCGTTATATTGATTCATTTACACTAGGATCTTTTAGCATTTGATGCCTAAGAAAGATGTGCTATTGCGGTTTGTAGAAGTAATCTTGTTAGTTGATGTGGGACATAATTTTTTGCAAACAAACACTAACATTAACTTGTATTGCTGTGTCACGTTCTTATATTAGACTAGTAGACTCGGCCAAGCGTTGCTCTGGCTAAGATGTTATATTTCATAGTAGTAAACTATTCAAGAGAAACGGCAGGAGAACACCAATCCACCATGCTTTTTTGGTGGTTATGCCATTAAATTGTAGCTTATGTGAAACGTTGGCATTTAATTTGATAAGGATCAATACCTAGGTACGAATAATGAGCCTTTTCTAGCGGTGGTATTTTAATAAAAAATAATAATAATAAAAGGGCGCTTATTGTGACGTAACTATAAAAGATAGAGACATGCTGTCGCGACATTTTTTTTTAGATAGTGATGTGTCCTGAAAAATTGTGATACATCATTTTGTTCTATCATTAATAGTTTTCGCAGCGCGCGCGATTGAAGGAAGTTTTTTGTTTATCTTTTTACACCTTGGGTTAGATTATTCAAGTTTTAGTAAGCATCTCTATTTTTTTTGAAAATGAAACATAGCCTATGTCACTCGGGAATAGTGTAGCTTGCCAACGGTGAAAGAATTTTGGAAATCGGTCCAGTAGTTTCGGAGCCTATTAATTTCAAACAAACAAAAAATCAAACCTTTCCTCTTTATAATATTAGTATGGATGAGTTTTTTTTAATTATAATTACGTTAAGCATTGTAATAGTATAATAAGTCCGTCTCTTTAGAATTTATCTTTATGTGTTTTTTTTTTTTTTTAATTATTTGCTACTTCGAAGTTGAATGACGTACATTACTATTTGGCATGTTTGGTTGACTATATTTTGTTTCTGGCTCGAGCCAATATGTATATATAAAAATAAATAAGAATCATTTAATTCAGACCATTTAAAGTATAAAGAAATAAAAAATTGTTTTTCCTTCCAGCACAACCACCAGGAGTTCCAGAAGTGTGTCGAAAGTCGTTGGTATCATGTCCGGCGTCGGGAGGTTTGGAATTATATCTCCTGGGTAAGAACTTTCTGAAGGAAACACGAGTAGTCTTTAGAGGGGTCCATGAGGGCAGAACCTGGGAAGAGGAGGTGGTACCTGACAAAGAATTTTTGCAGCAGGTCAGTACTTAGAATCATGTTTAATTATATTATTAACTTCTTAATTTAGTTTACTTGTTTGTGGTGATTTTTGACTGATTCTACCAGTACTTTTATAAAAAACTATGCATTGAACTTCCATTCCATAGGTGATAGTGCCATCCCCAGGTACAACTTTCACAAAATTAATCAAAATAATCTACATAAATTTATCAAAGTCATAGTATTAGGTTGGACAAATCTTTCTGCTTTTTTCCCTTAGTATCTGCTCCTCATTTTTATATCAATGAAACATCTATCTACGGATTCTGAGATCGTTAAACTATCCAGATATAAACTCGCAAGTCACATATAAATTACACTAGCCAAATTGGATTTCGAATCTACAGAGAGGCATTACTACATATCTTGGTGTGACTTTGAGGTTTCAAAACCTAACACAGACACAGTGCACGATCATAACAACTTTCAGCTACACTCTCAAATACATGCGCAAACAAACCCATTCACACACTCACTCATTTACTTAATATGTAACACTAAATTTTTTTTTTTTTTTTTTAATTATTGTCTGTTTTAAACATGTACCACGTAATAATTGTTTTCTAGTTACCCACAACACAGGACCTTCCTAGTGATATATGAATTCTGTCACAACCCTTTTGTCATAAATAAAGTTTTTATTTATTATTATTATTACTATAATTATGTATAAAACTTGCGTGTAAATCTTATAATTGCACAATCTCTTTCAGACGCACTTAGTTTGCTGCGTCCCGCCATTCGTCAGGCCTGAAATAACCGAGTCCGTAGGTGTACAAGTGTTTGTACGGTCTGGGGGCAAAACCTCCGAACCTCACTCATTCCTCTACACGCCACCCTCACTCGAGACAGGCCCGGCGCACAGCACGCGACACCATGCGCACGCGCACACAGGTATGTCTCAACTCTCATTTGTTACGCAACCTCTGAAGATCGTGCATTTTTTTTTTAAATTTACAATAATTATAAAACAATAACACTTGTACTTCATTCGTTTATAATTATAATAATGCCCAATCTTCATGTATATGTATGCCAACGAAACCTTAATAATTGTCGTATATGATTGTAATATGTTGCATGATTACTAACAATATGTTGCTTCCGTCGAATGAGGATTATTGCTGTGTAATAATTGTTTTATAAAAATGCAAAATACTAACAGATTAAGCAACGCTTTCTGAATAAAATATCGTTTTTATTTGTTCTTTAAGAATATCAAAGAATTAAGATATACTAAATGCTTGTTTAATATCAATGGAGCTTCATAACTCAGCATTCTTATACTGATAAGACTATTTTTTTTTAAATTATGAACAAATGATCTTACTAATTGAAGTTTAATGTGAATCCATATCCAATGATATCTTAAATGAAAATATAGTATAAGATAGCTTTGTGAATACATACGTACAAGCAATGAAATTACAATTATTGAATGTTTCTGAACACTTGTATCATAATAACGTGGGGTATTTCTTTGCAAATACATTGCTTTTACGTATGAAACGCAAGAGCGTGTATAAACATTAATTGCTTTGAAATGTCGTTAGCTTGTCATCTGTGCATGTAATTGTATAAGATAACTTACAGTTCTAGTTATAGTATTGAAAGAAATGACTGATGCGTATATGCGTACTATTTCTTTCTGCTCTGTTCAAGCTAGGTCTGTCTAGGTAGCGAGCTCGCCTGCTGCCCGCCGGCGCCGCCCAAGTCTCTATGGTACTGACACACCCACAACGACACACTCTCGTACTGACTCACTCCACACTTACACTCATCGTATATTACTCAACATACTTTGACGGCTTGATCTGAATGACAAGCAATGAGGTGTACTGACAGAATCGATAAGATACATCCGAGAGGAATCGATTAGATGTATCAGATTTATTAGCTCTGTGTGAAACAGTTCTAATTGTCTTTTATTTTTATTAATAATAATAAAGTGAACATTTTCATTAATTTTCATATTATAAAGTAAATTAATTTTTTTGTAGAGACTATTTTTTGGATTTACATAATACACTTACAAATGTTACTTACCACAATTTTACTACACACACAACTCCTACACAAGAAATACAAAACAAGAATTGTACACTGACAGTTCAGCCCCCATACACCCCCGATGTAGATTTAGTTCGCGCCTTACAAATTCGGAACGTTTTGTATCCATTGCAGTCTAAATTTTATTTTCCTTAAGCGTACAGGAACCGTCAAGATTAAGAAGAGGTCAATATGTAAGTGTTACTAAAGATATAATGTGTATTCAGTTTATGAATTACTCGTTAGATTTTCCCACAATCTGAACGTAATTTAAAGCTATACAATTTTAATATAAAAAAATTGATTGACTGCAATGGATACTGTAAACGTTAAGGCGTGGGTCGTGTGCAACGCTAAGGGTGCAAGAATAATCGTGCTCTCTCTCTCTCAGGAGACGATCGCGAAGCTCGGCCTGTGGCCTGGTGGGGCGGAGGCATAGGAATGGGGCTCATGCCGCCCCCTGCGCCACCCAATCGCCGACCGTCCATCATAGTGCCCGATCCTCACTCGCCCTTAGGATTGAAAAGCGAGGTGAGTTGTCTTCCATTTCTTCACAAATTCAAATTAATTAAGTTATCTGGTTTAAAGACTTACCATATCGTGTAGCTTATTTTTGAGATTTTTACCGGTCTGTATCCGTGTAGTAAGTAGGGGTTGGTTGTTGGTTGGGCGCAGGTGACGGACGAGTCCAGCCAGCAGTCGGAAGGAGAGGACAGGGACGAGACGGCCCCGGACGGACTCGCCGGGATGGACCTGCGGCTGAAGCCAGAGAACATCGCTACGGCCGGGCCACCCCAGGTCTGTGCCCAATAACCGTACTTACAGCTTCTCTCAAATTCAGATTAGCTACACATAATGTTGGATGCACGCTTTCTACTGTCATTCCGAATGATATTCATGTCGTTATATAATCTCGAATTTCTGGAAATTCTTATCTTAAAATTTTAATACCATGTCTTTAAAGCAGGTTGGATTCGTCAGCGGCTTCGACTCCATAAAGCTATCACCCTCCAACAATTCACAAAGCGAACCTCAATCGTCTATCACATCTTTCTCGCAGCAACTCGCCGCCATACAAAATCAAGTTCAGACTGACAAAATGGTGGAGTCAGTCACCGCCGCCATATTTAATTCTGACGGTGGCGGACAAATATACGTCGACCCACCGATCATGCCCATTGGTCAAATGAGTCAGATGCAGCAACTCATCTCCGCCAAGACTCAAATGGACCCGCTAGAATCCGAAATGAAGGTTTTAAATCCGGAAATGATGATGACCGACACGGGCATGCAAACGTCGGTGCTTCAATCGACTACCGAACAGAGGCTCATGGTTTACAATCAAGTGCAACAGAACAGGGAGGAGACTTACAATCCGTTCAGCGGAATGACCAAAATGGAAGCGTCCCAAATCGAGCAGCGGTTAGCGCAACAGAGCGCTCAGATGGAAGCCCTAGTGGAAGACGCGATGAAGGCGACGGCTGCCATTTTACCCTCCGACGCTGCCAAACTCGACGAATTCGTTAATTCCCGAGTGGAGGACCACCTCTCAGGTTCCGCCACTTCTCCGTCATCGGCGTCGCACGCGTCCGATATCCTCCTGAGCCCCAACGCCCCTATAGTCCAGCGGAACTCTGGCTCCGACCTACTCGCCCCCATGCCTCCCTCCTCCATCTCCCCCGACGTCATTCTCAACCCGCAGGTTTCCCCGAGCCTTCTCTGCGAAAACAATCAAAGGATCGTCATGCCCCCCGGCCCTTCCCAAGAGGAGCTCATGATGATGCCCGACATACCCACCTCCGTCAAGACTCCGCCGGCTGCCGTGAAATCTATGATATTGAATGCAGCCGCCGAGATCTTGACATCGGATTCGGCGATGAACGCTCTTGTGAAGTCGGCCATAAGTACGGCTAATATATTTACAAACGAGAGCGTGGGCGGGAGTGGGGTGATGCCCACGACGGACGCGCAGCCGTCGGATGAGCCCCCGCCGGAGACCCCTCTCGATGCCATGTCGCAGGCTGTCAGTCAGGCGGTTACTCAGGCCGTTAGTCAGGCCGTCAGCCAGGCGGTGAGTCAAGCTGTGAGTCAGGAGATGACGGGCCCTGTCCAAGGGCTAACCGATATGAGCGACCATGACCTCCTATCTTATATTAACCCGTCGACTTTTGACCAGGGTGAGTACTACCACATGGACGTTTATTATAGCGAATAGATTAACAGTAGTTTTATACAGATCAATTAAATTTCAGAATATGAAAAATTAGCTCTTACGCATATCGTCGATGCATTTTGCTATAAACTTATATAAATATTTTTCATATTTAGAAATAATTACGTCTCACTAGTCAAAGTATTTGACAATTATTATAAACTTGATTGTAGCCAATTTAGGTAGTAATTACTATACAATTAATTAACTTTACTACGATTATTTTATGATGTAAAACTTTAAGAGCCGTACCTAACCGGAACGCCAATGTTACTGTCTAATTGCAATAAATACAAATAGGTAAGTTAAAATGAAGCGAATACCAATGACTAGTAGTATACAAAGTAACAATGAAGTCCCGGTTTTGTAAAGCTATTTAGTTAGATTCGTGTTTCTAATATTAAATAATTTTATATTTACTGATTTAACTGTTTCAACCGCTGTTGTTTCAAGAGTACTTATTTACTTTATTAAAGTTTGTGTTTTTGTGGTGTTGGATTTTTGTAAGATACCAGTTAAGATAGATATTATTTATTCTTGTAACAACTGCAAAACGAATGACATACTAGATTAACTTAGTACTAAGACTGAGATAAGTAACATGGCGCCGTCTTTTGCAGTGTGAAGGAGGCTTCGCAGCAGTCGTTACTCACAGCTTGTAAAGCATTTCTCGTGACGTACCGAGGGCAGTTTTATGTGAATTCTTAATAATTCACTGACGTGCGATGCCCTAACGTAATCTCTCAGTGCGTGCAACAAAATGATTCTCATATATTTAGGAGTATGAAATGGTGCGATGGCGGGTCAATTATCAAGAGTCAGTATTACAGGGCTATAAATTAATATGAGGAATTGTGACTCGGATGCGAATGTCAATTGAATCTTTGGTACTTACCGAGTGACCGAATGAACGAGGGATTTCATTCGTTCGTTGTTTGTCGGTGTCGCTGCTCGTTGTTGCTATTAAAGTATGTATTTGTTGTAATATGAGACATGAGATGTTGTATTTTGATAGTTAAATATTTCGAAGTTTATGTAAATAATAGATAGCTTTGTATTTATGTTATTTCTTCATATATCGATTGCTTGAAACCTGGTGTTTGATAAAAGGCATTCCGAATATCGATTAATGAATTCAAGTTAAATTTACGAGAAAAAATATGAAATGTTTTGCGCAATTTCTGACAATTCGATTAGGTACACGAATTGGCTTTAAATTAGTTTATTGACAATGCACATAAAATAATGAAATGCGTTTTTATAAGATGTTATTGAGAATTAGTTAATTTTAAGCAAAAGTACTGATGTGTATAGAGCAAATGTTTAAATATATAATAAATGTTCATTTTTATAGCTATTGTCGAATGCTACATGTTAATTGTGCCATTATGTTACTCTAGGATACTACGTGTTAGGTTTATATGTGCGAATTATTTTGATGTCGAAGTTGTTTGGCCGACGTTAATTGCTTTTTGACAAAAACCAAATATTAAGTTATTCGATCAATCTTACGTCCTGAAACTACTTTTGAATTTTAATCTCTATTTGTATAGATAACTAGTATAATTTTTTTATATTATAAATATAATACTGATGTACCTTTAAGTTTTGCGCAAGTTGAATAACTGTAGTTTTTACGTATGTTGATTTGGTTTTATATTGTTAATATAATATATTTGGTGGTCTGTGGGGACACCTACAGGCCGTACACAGTTATTTTTTAAACCAGTACTAAGGTGACCTATTAGTACTATTTGTAATTTTAATTATATTGCATTTTGTTGAACTGTATAACAGTAAATATTGTATTAAATAACACTACTATAACTTAACAGTTATAAAGTAACTTTTGTGAATTAAAATATTTTTTTTATTGGTTTAATGATGTACTTTAGCTAAGTTATGACAAAGTACTACTCAATGTTACAAAGCTTACAGCTTTGCTGGTGACGGAAAATTGAGATTTTATTTAAATATATTTTATATGTAGCATTCAATACATTTAAAATATAGGTACGGTAGATAACGGTGCCCAATTACTAAGGTATATTTAACAAACAAATACTCAAAATATTTGCCAAACTTCACAACTTTATTTTTAAATCGATTACCCAAAGAACAATAATATTAAATGATAGTTTATAAATATATTGGTTGGTCGAATAATTTATACCAATTTTGTCCGTTAAATTGTCTAGACAGCTGGAAACGTGCCTTTAAAAGAAAAGTATAGTGACTGCTTAACGCATTTATTTAATATTGAACAACATTCCGAATTTAACATTTGACAAATTGAATATTTTATTTTAAATACGTTGAGCATGTCGCTAATATATCGCTATATAACAGGGACCATATGCATCACTACACAAAAATTCTACAATTGCCAAAATTATATAGATTTTTAATCTTATAGATTTAAATATACGGAATTATATTATATCTATTAATCTTACCTATTGGGACGCGATAAATCAAATTTTTATGTATCCTTTAGAATTTATTGGGCTTTCAACATATGTGGTATAAGAGTTGTCTTCCACTAAAAAAGGCACAAAACGACGCATTTATCAACGAAGTTCTTGTTATTAGTATGAAAAAAGAGGTGTAATAATATTCTTAATTATATACTATAAAATGCTACCACTCGGCATATTATTCGATGCAGAAAATTCTCCGTGGTAATAATAAACGATTTTAATATTGTTAATGTTGCGCCTGTTTCTTCATATTGTCCATAGTAAAGCGGCGCGCACGCGCAGATCTCTAGTCGGTCGAAATATCAATGCAACTTGCCGGTGTTACAATCATGTATGTTATTTGTTTTGATGTAATTGATTAAATGTTATGGAAAATATGTTTTTTATTATTCATCTTAATTCCACATTTATAATAATTAATATCTTATCGAGACCTCCGTTAAATTTACTCGTTTATGACAGTACAAACAGGAACATTGAGGAGGTATGTTTCAACTTTATAGACATTTTATATATCTTGATGGTATTTATTTCCCACTCACAAGTCTCGATTTGCAAAAAAGGTTGTAAGACTTTTAGATGACTTTAATTTATACAGTTTTAGCGACTAGTATAATAATGCCCTAGGGGGATTATACCCCTTATCCTCATAGGGCTTTACTGTAATGGTTGTGGGACGAGAAGGTTTTTAAGATTATTTAATAGAAAAGGTGTGATGATTCTGGTGGATGAAAAAGGCTAAACAAATCTGTTGTCATTTCCATCTATTAACTGTTAAATTCCTTTAGGCAGTTGACAATGTGAATCATCAACTGAATCAGTGAACACAGTTCTGAGGGTGCGAAATCAATTCCCTTAAGGAGAAGAGATTTACATGTGTAATATGTGTAGTGAATTTTTGTGTATGATTATGTCTGTGATTAATAAATCTTGGACACTCTAGCAAGTGTTTCAGTGTCTGTGTAGTGTGGTTGTCGCATGGGCATGTGCCCTTGGGCTTGGGAATGATTTTCACTACCGCCTCTTTCCATGCGGAAGGAAAGTGTGAAATCGCCAAGCAGCAGTTAAAGAGGTTGGTGATGAACTCCGGAAACAAACGAGCTAACACAGCGCATATGTCACTGGTCCGATGGTCATGACCGGTTGGTTTGTTTTGGCTGATGGAGCTTATGGCGTCGATTGTCTCAGTGATGGTAAAAGGGGGTTCGTTCTCCGTATTAGGGAGCTCCCTGATGTCGTGATGCTCGCTCGAATCGGGACCATCACCGGGAATAGTTCAACAGCCCTTAAGCCGTCTCCTACTTGGTGTTTGTGTAGATGTTGTTGATCTTTAGTGTTACCGGGTGTATGTTGTTCGGTTTGTCTTTTGTAAAAGTTGTAAAAGTTTGTTTGTAATGGTCTATTGCGTAGTCCTTGCCCTGAGCCTCACAAAAAGCCCGTAATCTGTCCGTCGAATCCCCGGCGCATCTCCGAAGCCGGAAGTAGTCTTTCGTTTGTTTGTACTGTTCAATCAGCTCAGGTGAACGTGTTGTGTTTACGTGTTATACGATGCAATTTTCGGTGTAAATATGCATTGATTATAAGATGTTTTAGGTGGTCTATTCCAGAAGGGGGCTTACTAGTTTTGCTCTCTTATCATGCTAACTAAATCATCGATTGGAGTGTTTTTGCTTATGCCCTTTAATTGTTGATATCATCGGGTCGAACCGGCGCTCCTCTTCAGCCTTGAGCGAGCCTGTCTTTTTAAGATGTGAGAGTGCGTGTTGTCTATTCTCATCGTTTTCAAAAGTAATGTTTAGTTTGCTTTTGGATAGAGGAGATATTTTTAGAGGAGCCTAGCCACCCTCTCTGAAATTGATCGATTTTCTCACTTTTTCAATTAAGTGTTGTGGGGTTGAGCTAGGTTCACCGCTGACTACCAGCGATGGCCCAGACGCTTTTTTGGCGGTAGCCGCGACGCTGGAGTATCACATATTGTGCCCAGAGGGGGCGTTAGTGATTATTGTAGGCGAGGTTAGTGTTTTCTTTTAAAGGATTTGTTTGAATTGTTGTTAACAATCTTAGTCAGTTCACGCCTTCCATGAGCCAAAGTGGCCCCCTAAGGGGATTGTTATTATTATATAGTAAAGAAAGAGAAATAAAACCATATTTAACTGAAATATGCAATTCGTTTATTTGATTCTATTTATAATATGATAACTTAAATGAGCGATGTACAGATTGCCTATACCTAGCCTATCCCCACATACTTACAATTAGGTAAGAATTATATACCTAGATATGAACATACGCAAAAGGTGCAGAATAATACGAAGATTATTAAAATTATCGCCAACCATGCGGGCATCGTACCTGAAATTAAGTACAAAGTTGTTAGTAGTTATTTTATGTAATTAATTGTATCAAACAAAATCCTAGTTTTTTCAACTTTACGATAACAATGGAAAAAACTTATGATGCCGCAAAAATCGAAGAACTACGCCAAACAAATTTTCGGGAGGCTCCACATTCATAGTGTAACAATAATTAACTATTTACATTGATGCCGTGGCTTACTCGTAAGTACACCCATAGCCAATCTTGATCCTGGATTCGATTTCCAACAATTCTTCACAGAAATATGTCTGCTCCATTCTGTTATAGGCATACATATATCAGACATCAAACAGATATAAGAACTATAGCTACTAAACACCAAAATGTTTTTGTCCCAAAACATTACTTCTTATTAATATAAACGAAAAAATATGTTCATAAAAACAATAATTTCCTTACTGCGTTCAGGCAGGGCGTGCACGACGAGACAATTGTCCACTGATATTGAGAGCAACGCAGCCTCACTGCGCGATGTGATTGATGGACCATACCCGCGAACGGGAAGGAATGATAGACCCGTGACAAACATACGGTGCGCGCTTTTCACGTGCAACACACGCTAAAAAAACAATAATCTATCAAACTTCGATCATCAGAAACATAATTATTATATTAAAAATAATAAATTTTCCTTATAATTTGCCGTTATTATTATTGTGCGTACTAAGACGGTACATAATAACTAATCATCAAAATATTGATGGATAATAGGTAGCCGATGCAAGAAAAGTGTTTTCGAAGATAGATGTTATTCAAATAAAATTTATTTTTATGTATTAAGTATTGTTTGTTTTATATGTCTACGCATTGGGTATTTATCTTAATTGCGAAGGAAACATACGATAGAATGAATGATAGTACCAAAATGAGCCAAAACTCAATTTCGATTCAATTTCGAGTATCATAACGTCCATTTTCAATTCAGCAAATTATTCTTATACCAAATTATTAAAAAGACCTGACATACATTATATTATGTGCTTCCCAATGTTTCATGTGTTGTTAAAGTTTACTGTGGATTTGCTATAAGGTTATATAATACAAAAATACATTATGGTGCATTACAATGCTTGATGGCTTTGCATAAATATTCTTAGTAATCTAGTAATAGGTGTAGCCTTGTAGTAGACATCTAATTATTGTGATACAGAATAAAAAACAACTAATTTGCATTCAAAATTTTGAGATTTTTGAAAAACTATAACTTGTTAATGCATTACCTGCAAGCTAAATGCAATATAGATATCAACAGATCCACTAAACATTGTGCCCACTCCAACAAATCGACCATCATCTCTCACGGTTAAGGCAGACAATGCTTCATTACACACAACACTTTTTTGCAACACCCCACTATCAGGTTCCCATAATTGTAATAAACCACGTTGTTTGCCAGACCGTGACAATGGGTTGGCAACTGTGAACATTCTGTGCTGATCTGGCTTATCTTCTACCATTGCAAATCTATAACAATAAAAATGTTATTAATAATTTCTTAAATATGTGAAATAGTGAAAACAATAAACTATTTGATGTTGATCATTTCATATCTAACATCAAGGTCAGTGCACACAAATTATATTCATCTGTGTATGTAACTTACTTGCATCTCCTAAAAAGAAACTTGGTGCCATTGGGCGGTTGACATGTTAGTTGCAAAAGAGGTGCAGCCTTAGCTTCTGAGCTCCAGACATGGGCAAAGCCATCTTTTGCAATGCTCACCAGCTTACTGCCACATGGACTAAAGTCTAGGTCATCCAGCTTAAAATCAAAGACAATTTAAATGAATTAACCACAAATTGCATTTTATTTTAGATTATTAATTACTTAGAAAAATATTTTAATTATTAAATTAAGATACAAAAAATATTTTTTGCACAAAATGTTTACTATATTTTATTTGATTACATAATTTAAAGCTCACTTAATTTTGCTTCAAAATATAATTATGTATTACATAAATAAAATATATTCTTTGTGTAATATTTTTGATAACATAGACGAAAATTATTGTTTCAATAACATTTATAGGATGTGTATGTATATGATTTACCTCTTTTGTATGACCCTGAAGTTCAAACAACAATTGCATTTGTGGAAAACTCCATACTCTAACAAGGCCATCTACACCTCCTGTTGCCATAAGATTTCCAATTGGACTTATTGAAACTACTCTTTGTAATGGGTCCTCTCTGGAATGATATTATATTAAGATAAGACTTATAATTTCTATTTAATGTACACAGGATGCTTTTATTATATATATTACCCAAAATCTGTCTGCACACTATCACCAGGCCTCATTTCAAATGATATTCTTTTTTCTGTTGTATTACAATTATTATCCATTTTGGAAATATTATCATTTTCAGATACAGTGCGTCGGCGACGTCGAACTAGACCATTTTCTGCTCGAAAGCTCCCTCTTCTCATCTCAGCAGCATCCACCATCCGAATATTCACTTTGTACAGCTGGCAATGACTCTCTTGACCAGCTGTTAAGTAGGTTCGGTTCTGGATATTTCGAACTGATAAGTTCATCACTACATTTGGACCAGTCTCATGCCTCATCACTTCTTCTGCTACAAATTTACTACCATTGTGCGAGAGTTCAAATATTTCCTACAAATTGAATTGAGTGAGAGAACAAAAAACATTTGTGTGCTTTGATAATCGATAAAGCTGTAATAAAATTGGCTACGCGTATAGGTACTTTAATTTCATGTTTCATTACATTAATATGACGTATACTCACAAATCCATTTGCAACGCCTGTGTTAGAAGCTCCTCCTCCACCAGCCACGATAACATGTCGATTCGTAAGAGTTTGAAGAGTGTAGAGAGGAAAATCAACCTTTGCAAGTAGCCCATCACATCTGTTTCGGGCCATTTTTGATAATTATCACACACCAGAGATTTATAAGATGATAATTAATCATTTACTTTATCTTAACTAAAACACAATACTATAGGACCATTACATTTTTAATAAACATTTGGAATAAAAATACGATTACAAACTAAACAACTGGCTTAAATCTTACAACTTCCAACATGACAAAAGTCATTAACTGACATATTGACAGCTGTACAATGACATCTAATGACGTAGAAATGTTGCCAACTGTTAATTAAATAATATTTATTAAGATAATATAAATTAACAAGACTTTTTATTTACACAAATACAGTATTAAATAATATTGAAATCCCCGTGGATTACTTATATGCTGGAATCTCGTCTGCCCTTTAAAGTGCAAAATCTCACTATTAAGAAATGAATAGTTGGTATTCATTAAACCCTTGTTGTCAATATGATAAAGTTAATTACAAATATATTGTGTAATAAATATTGATATATTCATTACACAATGTATATTATATGATATAGTACAGAATGTCGAATTAGAAATAAATTAATTTAAAGACTTCTCATAAAGGTTTGTGTCAATGCAATAATAATTTAAAACGTAAATAATCATAACAATAACAAGTCGGCAACGATAGGGACTCAAATGTAGGTCAATAAAATATTGACATGCATATTAACACACGTTACTACGTTTTAGAATAATATAAAGAATCAAAGTTTGTATTCAAATAAGCAACTTAGGAATTCGCCTAACACTTTTACGACTTTCTAAAAAGCGTAAAAATATTAAAAATGCATATATGCTATAAATCATTTTATTAACGACTTAAAGGCTATAAACATTTGTATTTTATTTATGTAAAAGGATATTTTAAATAAATAAAATTAATAAATATTTATTTATTTTATACCTATTATGTTTGGTACATTCCAATCATATTTAAGTCGTCATTATTCTTACAAATGTTTAATTACAAAAACAAACGAACTCAATAAGATGCATCATATTATGTTGTTTAAAAAAATAATTGAGATCTATAAATTTATCAAAATAGTCAAGGCGGCTCCGGTTATATATGTTCGTAATACCATACATCTACAAAAGTAATGTGATACCATAATTGTACAGTAAGTACAAGTAGCGGCACGAAACTCTAGCGCTGACCGTTATTGCGCAGAACAATGATATACAAAAAACCCAAGATGCACAGTCTCGAATAAAAGTAACGCTCGAAAGTGTCCCGAAACACTATTTCTGTCTCTTTCTATAAGTTACAAGCATATATTATTGCAAAATCGACCTTACGCGAATTGTTTAAAGTTGTTATTACAACGCAGTGTACTTAAATTTACATTATTTTACGTTATAATCAGTCATAAAAACAACAAAAACTAATCAATAAAGTTTTTTAATTACCGAAAATACGATATCCCATCCTTTTTTAGCCTTCTTGACGTTATATTTTTACAATTTCTCACAGAACACTTTGGCATTTTTAACAACTGCTCCCAAACGCGAGCGACGCGAGACTATTTGAAATGAGCGCACAATTTAGAATGTTGCGCTCATTTTTTGAGGACGTTTTTTTGACGTTGAGTGTGCATCTTGGGTTTTTTTGTATATCAATGGCGCAGAAGTAAAAAATAAGGTACGCGTCGATTGCTCTTCAGTCGCATTCCGTCCCCCGCACCGATACGACGCCCCGCGCACATCCCGTGTACAGTCGCGTCATTAATATTATTGTTACTGTTGTTACGTTTTGTTGTTTTTTGTTACGTTTGAATTTGTTAGTGTTTTGCTGTTTGTTATTTGTTTTTAAGTTTGTTTGTGACTTTAAAGTAAATATGCCTAGAACAAATACTGTTTTGAAAAGACAAGCCAGGAAAATGGTTTATGACGTGAATTGTTTTTTAAAAGGGAATCTAACGAATTAATTCATTCTTTGAAACAAATCCAAAGTGAGATTCAGCTTAATATCGTTATTTAGGTAATCATTAATCAAAGTGGCATATAATGTATTGCGTGCGCGACAGTACACATGCGCAGCAATCCCCTCCACGTATCGGCCAGCGCTAGACTTACGTGCCGCTGCCTATAATGGTGCTATCTGTGAATAATTGAAGCTTTTTTAACGAAAACTTGTACTTAAATATAAAATGGCTTTTTAAAGATAATGTGATTAGAACCATCAGATTTAACTACGAGTATATGCATTTATTACCTTGCATCTAATCATAAAGGCGCAGATAAACTATACCCTTCACTTGTAACAGAACATCAAGCAACCGTCATTTTTAAATTTGTCAAGCTGAACAACGAACAGAGCCAAGCATCGCGAAAATTTACATGTTCTTTCTAGCGAACGCTTTGTTGCTACTCGTCAAAAAAAATTTCTTCCCGAAAATGTTGGCAAAAACCTACTGTCATTTCGCTCGCTGAAACTGTTGTTGATTTTTCGTTAATGTAAGAACATAGAACTATTCGCAAATGCTCATTACAAGTGAATTGCCTAACCAGTAAACGTAAGGCAAAATCCAAGCTTTTAAAGCAAATCCCATGACACATAAATTTGTTACTATAATTTCGTCGCTTTTTACAATTGTGGCACTATCACAGATCTAAATATAATGGAGGGTTTTGTCTAAAATATATACTATACTTTAGATCAGCCATTTCACATATAAGTAAAAAATTCAGAGTCGAGACAAGCGTTAAGCATGACTTATGTCATAAACATTCTGACATACGGGAGTCATCGTTAGCGCTAAGTTTCGACTCAAACCTAACCTGGATAGCCCTATGCTATAACAACGGAAAAATTAAATCAATTTCACATAACTAATATCCTGTAATAACTGTAACTTATAGCTGTAGCCGTTCAAAACAATTCGATTTTAGAAAAAAATCTTGTAATAACGTTTTTAAAATAAAAAACTAAATGGTACGTATATTTCAAAATCTGTCATGATTATACTTAGTTATTCGATCAGTTAATGAACGACTCTGAGTACTTAATCGTACATCTTATTGGAAGTTATGAATGGTCATTTTAATTCAGTCATGATATAAACCCAAGTCACATTAATTACACAAATCTAGTCACTGAGAGTGTTCTGTGCTTTTCGGTAATTCAGCAAGATGCTTAGATGCATACTCGTTATAAAAGTAAAATCTGAAAGAGTGGTTTAGTATGTGAATATGATCGACCGGATAAGGCCATCGCGCACTGAGTCGCTGCTCTGTCCAATGCCAAAGTTGAAGAAGACTGATTCCGCAGCTACCTGCTGTGCGCACGTGCCCATTGGATACCAACCCACCTTATTAAATACTATACCTACTTTGTACACCTGCAATTGAAAATCCAATTTTAAGCCTCGATTTATATATATATTATATATTAATAAACTTATTATATGTGTTAGCAATTAAGGCATTAGTTTAATGTTAATATAAACAATAAAGTTATGTTAATAATAATTGATCAATAAATACATAAAATAATCCAGATTTTTTAAATCTGAATATGGAACATATGTTTCAAAGATTATTTTTAATTAAAATGTCTAACCGATAACAACGGAAATTATTTACATCCATTAATTTCGACCCACCTAAAAAATAATGTCATTATTTCGCGTTAATTAAAGACGTGATATGTGCAGTACGTAAAACAAACACAATACCTGTTTTTTTTAAAGACAACATTTTCCCCTAGCCGTAAGCTAAAATTTATTATTTTAGAAACATTTCCTTTACACTTTTTTTTTTAATTTAGTGACAAATATTATTTTACGATAATCAATGGTCAGATCTCAAGTTAGTAGTGTGCAAATATAAATACCTTATTCCGTTGTATATAAACGGGTCGGTTGAACATAATGTCCAGTAAATGTCGATAAGGCACGCGACTGGTGTAGTGCGTATACGTCAATCGTGCTCCGTCCGCATCCAATAGATGTGCGTACAGAAGCTCAGAATAGCCCCCCGCCCCGCTACCCGTTACCGCGCTTTCCTCGCTCGGCGCTTGAGTTGGTACCTGATTTTTATTATTTATTAAAAAAAAAAAATAAAAATCAGTGGTCTTTAAGTCTTGGCCTCAGATTTATGAATCTGTTTCATGATCATTTTTAAATATGATAATATTATAATATTTTTAATAGGCAAGTAGGTTATCAGCCTCCAGTGCCTGAAACACGCCGTCGACTTTTTGGGTCTCAGACATGTCGGTTTCCTCACGATGTTTTCCTTCACCGTTCGAGCAAATGTTAAATGCGCACATAGAAAGAAAGGCCATTGGTGCACAGCCGGGGATCGAACCTACGACCTCAGGTATGAGAGTCGCACGCTGAAGCCACTAGGCCAACACTGCTCATTATTGTTTATTAGTATTATGTTTTCTATGTAAAAAATAGGCTCTCTGAAAATCAGTATGACTGGTGACAGATAAGTTAGGCTCGATATAGGATCTATATTTCTGTCTTTGTTTAATTAACTAAATAAGTATTTTCATTCATTTTCCTTTTTCTTGCTTTAAAAAATTTTGTAAGTCATCAAGTAAAACATAAACATACCTGAACGCCAAGCAGACATATATTTTTATCAACCATGAAGGTAACTGAGCAATCTAATACACTCGTATTAAGGCAATCCGTTTGCTGAACTACAGCGCGTTGGCAGTAGATCTTATGCAGGTCGGAATTGTGACGTTCTGTGTGGTCCACCACCATGCCCAGAACTGGCCATAGACCTGGTTAGACCAAAGGGGAATGAAAGATAAAATTATGATACTTTTATGACAGGAACACGCCATTATGTTTGGCCAATCACAATCTAATAAACTGCGTCATCGTTGAATAATAGTAATTGAGGGTAGAATGAAAAACTTTAGTTTCAATTACAATTTTTACAATATTACCTTCCTACAACTTTGCAAACCCGGAGATGTTTTTTAACCGACTAAAGGTTAAATAGTTCGACCGGATGTGATATTTTTGGATTTAGATAAAATTTGAGTATGTATTAAGGCTTCCATTAAATTTAATAAATGTATGTTTGTCCACAAATGTCTCGGAAACTAAATCGTACCGCGATGACGCTATATTTTACGATAATATTTTAAATCAGGTACATTCAACTTACAGTGCAATCACTTTCATCAATACCGGTTAAGTAGATTTATAGATGAATATACAATCATTTTTGAAAGGGGATATGAATCATTATATACAAAAATAAAAGGAAAGAAAGAACTCATATTTAAATAAAAATTATTATAAAGTACTCACTCTCATGGCGGGTGGGTCTTGGGTAAGAGGGACAGGTGTTTGTTGAAGGAGCGGGACGATTGTTGTCCCATACTTGCTCTACTGCGACCGGACTGGGAGTGTCAACCACAAATGTTGTCATCTGTAAGAATTTAACATATTTAGCAAAATTTTTACTAAAATAACTTGGTGGCGCGGTAGTCGCGCGTTCAAATCCCAACTGTAATATTCAAATAATGTAATAACAATTATAATAATCCAGTGGTGCTACAAATCTTGCGTTATCTCCGCCACAGATTAGAAAAAAAACAAAATTGCATCCGTTTCTTTGATATTTTTTCAATTATGTATTATAGACAAGTAGGTGATCCGCCTTCAGTGTCTGACACAATATGTCATCGATTTTTCAGTTTGACACATGCTGGTTACCTTACGATGTTTGCTCTTCTCCTTGTTAGGCGCAAATGCTAATTGTGCACATAGAAAAAAAATTCAATGTTACACAGCCGTGATTCAAACACACGTCCTCAGGGATGAGGGTCACACGCAAGCCAACACTGCTCTTTCTTTTTTCATGTATGCATTTGCACACAAGTATAAAGAATAAACCACCACTATCAAAAGATCTTTGATGAATTTGATCTTTGTTATTGACGTCGTTGACGCCTTATTATAAAATGTGATTAAAATTTTGTTTCATAGCTTGGTTGCTTTGAGTACTATTATTTTTATATAATATACATATGCACATTAGGAACAGCCTATATAAACTTACATTACAGGAAGGTCCACAACCGATCAGCTGTTTCCTTGGACTCCGACAAGTTGAAAAACCAGTTGGCATTGGCACATCGGAGTTGTTTGAAAGGATATTCATGAGGACTGTGAAAGCTTCTGACTCGGTTAAAAGGGAGGATCTCGCTGGGCCCTCAGCAAACTGTTGTGCCGACAATGTCAGAAATCTGACCTTTTCAATGGCACTGCGGAGGGTTGGCTTACTTTCAGAGGCTTGAATAGAAAACACATATTATCTGTAGATATTTATCTTATCTTCCTTATATATGTTAAATTTATGACAAACTTTCCACAGAATATCGAAATTTAAAAATACTTACCAGTAAAATAATAGTGGTATATTGAAATTATAGAATACAGACTTTGACAAAGTTTAAATGTATAGTCGAATTTTTAATTAGACATATCCTGACGTTTACGGGTTGTTTTTTAATGAAATAAAAATAGTGTTGTGTTTGTCAATGATTTGTGAATATTGAAAAACTCCTGAATTAATAAATTGCCTCGATTGCCTAGTGAATAGTTAACGTTGCGTACGCCGTATGGATAGGGTTCGAATTTTAGTGTGCTTTGAACATACCAAGAGTTTAGTATAAATACCAATTGTTTTTAACATTAAGGAAATCATTGGAGGAAACTTGTAGACTGTCCTATTCTCAATATATCATGTAGTTTATACTATAGATGTTTAATAATATAACAATTATAGGTTGGTAATGAAAATAATAAACATCGCTTATTACATAATTTTTTTATTTATATCAGATAAAAAATCATCACTATCGCTTTCGGTGACATTAATAAAAATCTTCTGAAACATTGTCGATCATTCGTGAGACCTACATTTATCTTCTTCTTCATTATGTGAGACACGCAGCTACGCCATTTATAGGTTGATTAGTTTAAGTCCTTCTTAAAAGTTTTTTTACTTCTGTATTTTGAAGGTTTTATTATTTTTGAACATATCCTTTAGCTGGCCATACCAACTCATGGGATTAAGTAAGTGGTATGGGGAGACGTAAACAATTTCTCATGCTGCGCTGCTATCTCGTCAACAACATACTTTTCGAAATGATCTTGTTTGTGCTGCCGTACAATGTCTATAAGAGTAGCTTTAACCATTGTTGCTTCGAATGAAATATTTTTGCTCGTTAGCCACTCTTGTATTTTAGGTTTAGTCAAGACATTTTAGGCAGGCGATTCTAGTTTCCTGGAGTGGTAGGGGGCATTATCTAGCACTACAACGGAATTTGGTTTTAGTTTTGGCAAGACCCCACTAAACCACTTCTCAAAGGAATCGGCATTCATTTCTTGATGATAGTCTTCTTTACTTTTTTGGCTTCAAATATTAGTAAGCTGTCTTCTACGAATCCTTCTTCCCCACCTATGTGGCCGATAATTAATCGTTTGCCCTTTCCTGAAGGCTGTTTTAAGCCAGTAGTCAGGCCATCTAGGAAGGCCTGGCGAGTCGATAACACTGTCTGGTCAATCCATGCCTTCTTCGGTGCATGACCTACAAGATAATGAAAAATAACAATTAGTTAATGAAAGTACAATTTAATGTAAAGAAAACAGAAAATTGTAATTACTTGTTGATTCGGTTTCATCTTGGTAATAAATATACCTTCCTTCCCTTCGATACTCTTTAATTTTGCGAAGGTATCGCTGGCGCCATAACATAATGTCCTGTCTGTCAATTAACATGCTTTTTCTTGATTTTGTGACATATTTGAAATTTAAATGTTTCATAACATTTCTTAATGTACTCAAGAAAAATTGGGTAAGTCTGGGTCTTCATTGACAACCTTAAGAATCTGTGAAGTAATAAAAAACGTTTTTGAGTAAGGAAGTCTAGCAATCTAATACTTTGGTTTTACAAAGATCATTATTGTGAAAGAATATAATCAGTGATGGAATAAAGTTTGTTACCTTTATAATGGGGGTGACTCATTTGAAAAAATAAATGCTTATAGGGCAAAGAAATTCTAATTTATCTTTGAAATTAGTTTCTCGGGAGACTTAAATTGTTCATTTTCTTTGTATTCTTTTAATACACTGTAAACTGAGGTCACGCTAATTCCCAAAATGTAGCTGTTTTCGAAACACATTCTTTTTTTCGGGAGCCTCAATAGGTAAAGTAAGCACTTTCTCTCAAATACGTGTTTGTAGACGTTTTGTATCATAACTTTTTCGGTAACGCTTAAAGCAATCCGTGGTCTCTTCTTTCTTGGAGACAAGCTTTGGCTTGACGTGCTTGGTTGAGGATCCATATCGTTTTTACGAAACAATATAGAAATAAAAAAACACAACAATAACCACAAACACAACGTAATGAAAAACTTAACAAAAACTATAACTAAACAGCGTGAGCGCAGAAAAAACATTCGTGCTATCAGACCAGAGGTTAGAAGCCGAATGACAAACAAAATGGCGACCGACGCGGCGGCGTCGTGGTGTTGGCACTAGTCGCCTCGCCGCGCTTTGTATTACAGCCGTCAAAACTGATTGTATTACATACTACTAGTACCTAACTTATATCAGAAATCTTTTATACAATTTTAAAATAGTAATAATATTATTTTATAGTTTGAAATATTAATATTCACACTCACTCATTGTTCATTCATCTGATTGAACAAGAACTGAATGTATCACTATTACTTTAAATGTGGCAACATTATTTTACTAAGTGACATTAGTACTGTCAGATAGTTCGTCTAATTAAATTGACTATAGTAATATATTAAAATTTTAACCACATATCTATTGTGCAGGTTAATGGATTTCATTGATTGCTAGAGAAAAATGGAGAAGGATTTTGAGGCACATTGTGAACTGTATAATGTTAATACTCCAATAAATCCTGCACTGAAGAATAAAATCTTTTAAAATGTATGTTTTGTGATATAAAGGGAAATGAAAAATATTCATTTTTTGACCCGGTAATGTAATTATACTTAGTGGTCAAAACATCATACTTTTAGGCTTCTTGCTTTCTGGGGGCTGAACGGAATGGTCTATATTGTCACAGGAGCGACACGCCTCCATTGCAGCCGCTGGACTGTTCTCGGCGCTGCTCTCAATATTAACTACCTGTAAATAATTAAATTAAAAAATTAAGACACAGATAGTTAAATGAACCATCTTTTCCCTCTAGCAGCATGGGGCAGACACATTTCTGTATTTGGTTTATTGAAGTACCCAAAACGAATTTTAGGTGCCAAGCCTTGCAGTTTAATGATTTTACGGCATTTATCTGTAAGATTTATTATGCCGGTACAATTAAATGAAAGTCTAACTATAAATGTAACTCTGATGGGTTTGAGATAGTTAGACTTATTAGGTATAAACCTGATTTAACATGTTTTAATTGTGGTACTAATAAAAAAACTGGTACCAATCCATTATCAAGTAAGCAATAAATATTAATCAATATTTCTAATAAAATAGCTTGGCACTTTTTAAGATAGTAAAGGACCTTTAAGCTAAGGGGTGGGTTACCCAACCCATAAAAATTTACTTTGTGCATCTGCATAATAATAAAAAAATTACAATATTCATAACTCAGCATAAAAGACAGTAAAAAAGCTTTATCAATCAACAAGAATAATTAGTTTAGGTAATCAGGTATACCTAAACTAATTATTCATAAATTGCTAATACGTAGAACCTCGTTAAGTCGAACCTCGATAAGTCAAAAACCTCCAAATCTCGAAAAAATGTTTTGTTCCCTTCCCTTAAAACACCAAAACCTCCATTACTTGAAATCTTGACCCTCTGTTAATCGAAATAATCACCGAGTCCCTCCAAGCCATTTTGGTACATATTTTCACTCTATAACTCGAAAAATTAAATTTGACCTCTGTATCTCGAACATAGGAACGTTTTATTTTACAACCTTTACAACTTGATCATTTGGAATTTATTATCCCTATTGTTCGAACAAAAATAAGTTACCGACTTTAAGAACTTGCCGCCAATGTGAGTACACTATTGTTTCTTAGAAAACATTTTAGGAGTATACAATAATAAATTTATGACTCATGGAAACACGTGTTTGCTTGCTTTGTGTCAGGTGTTCAATTTTGATTCCCTTGGAAATATAGCTAAGCCAGTCGTTTGTTTTCGACTTAAATACTGTCAGAAGTAGTTTGGTTCTACTGCAATACACATCAATTAGTACAACAGTTAACATGAGTGCTGTGAAACGTAAACTAAAAACTTTGAGTCTTGCTGAAAAATTAGAAGTGCTCGAAGCTGTGAAGAGCTGTCAAAAAAAGAAAGATGTTGCTGAACAATTTGGCCTGCCAATGAGTACTCTTTCAACAATAATAAAAAATGAATCAGACATCATGAGAAAAATACAAAACGGTCAAAGTTTGTCCTGCAAAAGACGAAGAATTGCAGAATATCCGGGCTTGGAGGAGTGCTTACTTAAATGGTTTGAGCAGTGTCGCAGCCAAAATATTAGTGTTAGTGGACCACTGTTACAAGAAAAAGCCCAAATATTCTCTAAATCATTGGGACTCGTTAATTTCAGAGCCAGTAATGGATGGTTAGAAAAATTCAAAAGAAGACAGGAACTTGTTTTTAAAAAAGTTTGTGGGGAAAGTGCAAGTGTCAACATTGAAACCTGTAACAAATGGAAAAGTGAATTGCAAGATTTGTTACATGGTTACGAACCTGACAATATCTTCAATGCTGACGAAACAGGCCTGTTTTTTAAATGTCTTCCTGATAAGACTTAACTTTTAAAAATGATAAATGCCATGGTGGGAAGCATAGCAAGGAACGTTTGACTATCCTGCTAGGAGCAAACATGTCGGGCACAGAAAAACTCTCACCATTAGTCATCGGCAAATCTAAAAAAACCTCGTTGTTTTTCAAGATGTAAATCACTACCACTGCAATATGAAGCGAATACAAAAGCATGGATGACTTCTGCAATTTTCAAAAACTGGCTCATAAGCATTGATAAGAAAATGGCCAGAGAAAAAAGAAAAATCTTGTTGTTCCTTGATAATTGTTCAGCTCATAAAGATATTCCACAAATGAAAGCTGTTAAAATACATTACCTGCCTGCCAATACCACATCAATTTTACAGCCTATGGACCAAGGTATCATGAAAAACTTCAAGTCATTGTATCGAAAAGAAGTTGTCAGGAACATGCTGTATAATATGGAAGAAAAAAAGAATTCTACTATAGATGTATTGCAAGCCATGAGAATGGCTGATAAAGCTTGGCGAAATGTTACTGCTACTACAATAAAAAACTGTTATGTACACTGTGGTTTTTCATCGTCGTCAACAGTAGTAGCTGAAACCGAAGATATTTCTATTTCACCTCCTGCAGAATGGAACGCAGTGCTATCTGAATCAGGAATATCCTTTGAGGACTTTGTTTCGTGCGATGATGGAGTTATGACTGCTGGGACATTATCTGATGACGAAATTATCGATTCAGTAGCTCAGAAAACCGATACTAATGATTTAGATGACATAGAAGACGTGAATAGTACATGCGCTCCATGGGTTTCCATCAAAGAGGCGCGAACCGCATTGAATACCTTACGTAATTTTATAGAGCAAACCAGTAACTCTGAAGAAGAAGAATTTTCTGCTCTTTATAGATTAGACAATGCTATAGATAGAGAAAGCAAAAAAAAATTACTGACTTTTATCAATGCCATATTTTTTATTTTAAAATGATTTAAAATAATGTTGATTTATAATAAATAAAAATATGTTTGTCACCTCTGCAAGTTGAATTTTTATTTATTTAACCTCTCTAACTCAAAATTTATAAGAATAAACCTCAAACTCTTTATGTCGAATCAAAATCCGCCTAAGTCGAAGTCCTCCATAAGTTGAACTCTATAACTTGAATTTTTTTGGCGTCTCCCTTGATGTTCGATTTATAGAGGTTCTACTGTACCTATACCAGAGATGACTTTATAAAGACTTATTCTTCTGTTTTACAGCTTAATACTTTTGCTTTTCTTTGACAGAAATCTGATCATACAGAAATATGGTATATAGTTAGGATGTTAAGTATTTAAATTTTGTATCTATCTACTGCAATACCTGTGTATTATCCTTAGATGTAGATGGTGGTGGACTTTTGGGAGCAGTTTCAGATTCTCTTTGGTCAGTTGATGTACCCTCTGTTGAGGGACCCTCAGTAGAAGGACTACTGCTTCGCTCAGCATTCCGCTTTTCCATAGCTTTTGAATACCTATTAATTATATAACTATTGAAAAATCGAATTTTAAGTTATGGTTAACAAAGAATTATTTTAATATAAGGTAAAGTGAAAACAAAGTTATAATGTTGACACCACAATATAAGGTATAACATTCAAAACTCTTCATAAAAATAATTGTATGTTTATTGAGAACTATCAAGTCATTTAAACTAAACCATTAAAAACAATGCAAATTTTGGGAAATTGTAATAATAAATTATAGAATCTTACAGTAAGGTTCAGACACAAGATTTAGTACTAAGTATAAGTCACATATGTCAACTATACATTTTGAGATATGGGAGTCATCTCAGCATTAAGTCTAGACAATTAATCTTCCCCATAAACTTAGTAGTTGTTGCAATCACCTTACAGCAGCATTAAATAAATCCATTTCTGAATCAATATTGAGGTGATCTAGTGAGAAGACTGTAATAACTGTATTCAATTCCACTTCTTCAAAACTGCTATCATTTAACACATCTTTGGTATTAGTACTGATTATCTGAAATTGTAAAATAATGTTGATAAACCAAACCATGATAAACCAGAAAATCAGATTAAATGAGGGCATTTTACCTGCAAACATTTTTCCATCAAAACATTTTCATCAAACAGCCGAGCAAACTCATAAGCTCTACAAGCATTTTTTGGATAGAGATCAGACCAGAGGTAACGGGTGCATTCTTTAACTAAGTGTGGCAGCATATATTTTTTAGCTCCATAGCAGAGCTCACAAGCTTTATCAAATGAACTCAAATTTATGTTTCCTGTGTAAATGTACCTGTAATATTATATATAACTACATATTACACATTTATCCTTTGCCTAGCTTTCATTGCTTATAAGATATAATAAGATCACCAGTTGTTGTTACATAATTTGTAATAACTTTTTTTGTTACTAAATAAACAATGAAAAAATAAATTAAAATATGTTATTGCTATAATCTTTAAATGTCAATATATACACGCAGCCTAGGGAATTACTTACTCTAGAAGGGCCTTGAATGCATCAATCTGAACATCTAAGATTGGTATTGGATCATTTCTTTCAGGCATGCCACCATAGAACATTGCCTCAAACACCGGAGATGCCATCGCCAAAATAAGCTTGTGACCAGCTATCACCACTTGATTAGGCTCGGAACCCACCAGAAAAGTGCAATCCGACCACTGGCCAGTTTGGAGCAAGTATGCACCTCGCTGTTTTAATTCTATACATTCTAATTGCCAGTCAGTTGGGGCTGCTGCCATTATTTTATATTTAATACAACTAAACGATTAACGTGGAAAAAACTTTATAATATTATATTATATTTATTTTAATAAATTATTGAAACTGAAACTCAGGGCGCATAAATTATTTTGTCCGTTGACAAATGACAGCACAGAAGTACAGATAACAGAACACTCAACACAAGTCACAAACTTTGATTATTCATTCGATAGTGACAGTCAAACGGCTGTTGAATTGTAGATAGTGAGCAAAATTTAAAATTTCATATTACTAAACATTTCTTACGTCTTATCTTACAAAATATTTTATGATAAATAGAGTTAGTATTATAAATATAGTTCAGATTCAGATTATTAAAATAGTGTTTAAAAGCGATAATTTTCACCATCAATTATCGGTAACAATTAGCATTTATAATTTAACATCATTCACATGATTACATCACTATAGCAGAAATGTCAATATGTTTGGTCGGTTCCACAGATTTAGTTGGTTCGAAAAAGTTAATTTATTTTGTCAGCGATAATGATTTTTAACTAAGATTTCCAGTTAATGGAATAAAAATGAATCACGAGGAAATAAAGACAGTCGTGCAGGAAAAATTCCTATCCAGCGAAAGAGTTACAGCTTTTCTGTGTGATGCTAAAGTGCTCCACCCAGAATGGGTAAAAAGAGATAGACTTCTTGCTATTGTGGAATATGGTGACGAGAAAGCTGTTTTTTGTTTATTTTCGTCGTGTTACCCACCGAAGTCTTTTACAGACCTATCTATTGAAATTGTATTACCGATAGATAACAGTTTTAAATGTGAAATAGATAACAAGCCCTCGGATCCCGAGGCAATCTTGTACCTGAATTTACAATCTCGTTACAATAAGTTTAAGTTTGAAATCCAAATGACTCCGCGCGTTGATAATTTTGTCGACGATTTATTCAGAGGAATAGAAGCAGTTAATAAGATTTCGACACAGCCAGAATTTGTTTGGCTAAAAAAGTATAGTATTAAAGATGAAGAAGATTTTATAGCAGAAAATATTGTGCTTCCTAGAACTGGCATTTCTAATATGCCTAACACAGCTCCAGTGGCTATCAGAGAGAGCTTGATAAAGCGGAAAATGTGTGACAAGGAGTCAGAGTACACATTTACAAAACAGTTTACTGTTTTTTGTGGTACATGGAATGTTAATGATAAGTCTCCCATTATCCCACTAAAGGGATGGTTACATATTGACAAAGAACCACCAGATATATATGCTGTTGGGTTTCAAGAGCTTGACCTGTCTAAGGAAACTTTTCTTTTTGACCAAACTTTTCGGGAAGATGAGTGGTATTGTGCAGTTTTGAATTATGTTGACAAACGAGCAAAATATATTAAGGTAGAAAAAGTACGCCTTGTTGGAATGATGCTAATTGTCCTTATTAAGGAGAAACATTATCCATTTGTGCGTAACATTGTGTGTGACACAGTGGGAACAGGAATTATGGGTAAAATGGGAAATAAGGGAGGTGTGTCAATAAGATTTGACTTGCACAATACATCTCTATGCTTTGTAAACTCCCACTTAGCAGCTCATGTTGAAGAATATGAGAGGAGGAACCAAGATTTTAGGGATATCTGTAGTAGAACTCGGTTTCCACAAGTAAACCAACAACCTAAAGCAATAAAAGACCATGACCAAATATATTGGCTAGGTGACCTCAACTATAGAATTACTGAATTAGATCCAATTACTGTGAAGAAATTAGTCAATGAAAACAATTTTGGACCTGTTCTAGAATGGGATCAGTTAAAACAACAGCATAAAAACAAAAATGTTTTTGCTGGTTATCATGAGGGTCTCATAGCTTTTAAACCCACCTACAAATACGACCCAGGGACTGATAATTGGGATTCCAGTGAAAAACATCGAGCCCCAGCCTGGTGTGATAGAATATTTTGGAAAGGAGATCGTGTTACACAATTAGATTATAGAAGTCATCCAGCATTAAATATAAGTGACCACAAACCTGTTTCAGCTATTTTTAGTTCTGAAATTAAAATAATAAATGAAGAAAAGTACAGGAAAATATATGAAGAAGTGATAAAACAATTAGATAAGTTGGAAAATGAACTTATTCCACAAGTAAAAGTTGATGTTACTGAAGTTGATTTTGGTACAGTTAGGTATTTAGAATTACAAGTACGAAGCATCACAATTAAAAATACAGGAAAATTACCAGTGGAATTTGAATTCATAAAAAAATTAGATGAAGCAAACTTCTGTAAGGAATGGCTCATTGTTGAACCATACAAAAAATGTATTTGTGCTGATGAAACTTGTGAAATCCAGTTAAAAGTATTAATTAATAAGACATCTGCATGCAAAATGAATGCTGGGACAGATCAATTATATGACATTTTAGTTTTACATTTATATGGAGGCAAAGACATCTTTATCACAGTAAATGGGACATACCAAAGAAGTTGTTTTGGGTGTTCAATAGAAGTTTTAGTTAATTTAAAAATGCCAATACAAGAGGTGCCTGTTGGTAAGCTAGTAGAACTTGAAAGTAAGAGAGATCAATGTGTGTCAAACCAGTCAACATATTCCATACCAAAGGAAATTTGGTTCTTAGTGGACCATATTTATTTACATGGATTAAAAGAACCAAACTTGTTTGAACAACCTGGTTTACATTCTGAAGTATTACAGATTCGGGATTGGCTAGATACTGGGTCAATTGATCCTATCCCTGGTAGCATACATTCTGTTGCTGAAGCTCTGCTGCTGTTACTTGAAAGCACAGCAGATCCTATCATTCCATATAATCTTCAATCAGTGTGTCTCAGAGCATCCACTAATTATTTACAATGTAAACAAATTATTATGGAATTACCAGAGTTCAGAAAAAATGTTTTTCTTTACCTATGTGAATTTTTACAAGAAGCTTTACAACATAGTGCTGAAAATGGTTTAGATTCCAAGACATTATCAACCCTTTTCGGAGCAATTTTTTTAAGGGATAATCCAAATTTAGTTCAAGAGCCTCAATCTCGAATAAACAAACAGGTCATTGACAAGAAAAAAGCCCAATTTGTGTATCACTTTTTTATTAATGATCATAGTGATCTCATATTTTCAAAATAATCTATGTATTAGAAATTGTATTTTTATAAGTAATTAGAATACTCATTTTTGTTGTGTTTTTAAATCATTTCATTTAAATCTATAAATGTGTAATAATATTTAGACTGTTAATAATTGCAGTATATTAATTTAATGATATATAGGATCATGACATATTAGATCTAAATTATGTACATAACATTATTGTACTGTTTTGTATATTTATTGTAGTAATTACATTTTACCAACGAAAAGTAAGCGGCCAATGTATGTAGATTTAGAATTAATAAGTATTTTAAAAGTTAATATATTTAGTCACATATTCACATTTACTTATTACATCACTGTTATAATATTTATTTGCGAAAAGGTGCTCACATTTTTTCATAAGTATAATTTTATTATCACAGTACAATTGCTTAAAATTTGGTTGTTGATCATAATATTCTATGATAAATATTAATAAAGGGCACTGTATTTTGTCATTATTGTGACTAACTTACGATAGTCGTATGTATAATTTTAATAATTTATTAAACTCTTTACTAAATGTTACAATATATTTTATTGTCAAGTAAACAAGTGACTGTGATTTATCTTTACAGACTTCACAGACTCTCTATCATTTTATATGGTACCTAACAGTGAATTAATGCTTAAAAAGTGCCGCCATAAGTCAGGTCGGAGGCGGAAACACTCTCTGCAGTTTGTTGCTATACTTGCATATAGGTGGCGCTATTTTCAATGTTATTATTATTTTAATAATAACGTTTTTAATACTGTAATTATGCAATATATCCAGCATATATACTTAAGCATGCTAAAATCATTATTTGACAGTAATATGAATACATAGTTGGTAACGGTTTATATAAAATAATGTATAGTCATTGTCTATGGTACGATGGCCCTAGATCACAAGATCGATTAAAAATCAAATTTTAGCGGCAATTTCAATTTCGACCAATCACATAAAAGCTTTCATCTCTATGACAATTGATGTCAACGAACTTGAATACAAAAGATCGTTTTTATTTTCAAGTTTGCGAAGTTTTTAACGAGTTTTCAGTAATTTCGTTGAAATTGTTACTTGAATTTAAATTCAATTTATAACTGTCTTAACGGAGGCCGCCGCATCCTTAAATAGTAGGTCCCATAAGGATTTTTCATACAATTTGTTCATCATCAGTGATAACTAGACGTACAAAGGATTAATCTTATATTATTTTCATTGAGCCTTCGACTGGGTGTTTACTTTTTCGAAAAAAATATGGATGTTGAAACCAAATGTAAGTGTATATTTTCTATGTATTGTATATATTTTCTTTTAATGAAACATTTAACAGCATTAACAATAGTTATAATAGTTTTAAAGATTGTTCTCTTCTCTACAGAAATATGCATTTTTTTTTAAATCTTTAATATTTTTTATGGTTAACTGAAATTAAGTAACATTAATTTATTGTCTTAAAAAAGTAGGCAAACAAAGGCAATTAAGAAAAATTGAACATGTGTCTACTGTATAGATATTATTTCTGTCTTATTAAACACATGCTTATGCATGAATACTATTTAGTTATTTATTAGTCATACAGTTAAATTTAAGACCTTTAAGAACAAATAAATTAAATTTATAACAATTCTATATTAATTTTTATATTATACCACTGACACATTAAAATGAAATTTCTTTGTCTTATTGTGGAAAAAGCATGCCACAACCACCTTCATCTTTTAATAATATCTTTTGTTCTCAAATTTTTTACCCTATTTTTTAATAAAATGTCTCAGATAAATTTTAATAACGATTTACAGATTACACAAGTAGTAGTATTTATTACCTTCCTACTTCCTTTAGTACTATATTGTGTTTTAATAACACTGAGAAATAGTATTACATTTTCCATAGATTTGCCATAGGGTGGTCTGTTCTGTTCTGTGTGAGTAATCCATCAATCCAAATTTGAAATTGTAAATAGGTCAAAAAATATCATCAGGGCAAAAAAATTATCATTTAAATACAAACAATTAAAATGTTTAATTTACAATGCAATGAGTCAAAGTCAAATAATTATTATTTTGCGAGTGTGTCATCTGCCCACACTGCGACGCGCCGTTATTAATCCGGTGTATTCTTTTTAAACATTCTTAGAATTTTAAATATGTACTTTACTTTTATTTTATATATACCAAAATTTTACAACTATTTAATTTAAACAATGCAATTAACACAAAAAATGGTAGGCTCATTTTACCCACGGGTAAATTATTCTTAGAAGTTTTACAATGAATTTTTAAAATAAAACCTTATGATCGTGATAGTTTAGCTTTTTTAAGCTAATAGTTATGTAAAAATGAGTTAAACTGTTTTTGGGTAAGTAAACCGTTGAATGCAATTTTGATATGTTTATTTTAATTATGTAAGATAAGAGAGCTTGTAGATCTATTTCACTAGCTTTTATTATACAGGATATTATAACTTTTGAGATGATTTCAAGTATATAAAAATAATATATCACTATAATCATCTCAGAAGATCGACCGTTAAAAATAAGGACACGGTGACTCACACACATCTCTTCCGCGCCCGCGACAACGTTCTATATTTGAATTTGTTTACCTTTTATGGAATATGGCGGTTGGTGCCGTTAATTTTTTGTGTTTAAAAAGTATGCTTATATGTATTTTAGTTTTCGTTCATACATCATCATTATTCTCTACGTTTGCATAATTTCTATACGTACAATTTGCGACAAAGCGGTATCTGCTACTTTATATTACGGTAAAACTGTTTTAATATGGTTGGAAAAAGTTTATTTACAAGCATATAACAAACTGAAATATTTCAAATACTCCACTGTACGTATATTTCGATTAAAAAATACCTGTTCTTACAAAGTATTATTTTCAAGCTCTTCCATTAATTGAAATTGCGAGTTTACGGCTGAATTTGCTTGTGGGTTTTCATTGTTCCTGCGCAATGACCCGAGGATTCATTACTTTTCCTGGGATATCGATGCCACAATGTTAATGATATTGAAAATAAGTATTCTTTTGTGCTCGCTTTATAAAAATCGTATAGCGGTACGTTAGAAATTGTTTTAATAACACCACCTAACCTAATAAAAAGTTTGTGTTTTTAAAATAATATGAATTCATAAGAAAATATTTTATAATTCAAACCAGCTTGTGTAACAATTTTAAAATTATTAGGAAATAATCATTTTCTAAATTCTCAACTAATTAAGAAATTTGTTTGAAAGTGTCTACACAATTTCATGAAATATTTCATTAGTAATACAAAAAATTACTAAATAATATTTTTGACCACTGAGGATCTTATTCTAGAAAGATAAATGAAGTTTCAAGAGCTGTCAAACCATTTTTTTTTAATGAAGTTTCATATATTTGGCGCTTAAGACAAAATTGTGATAGAATATGTACCTAACAGTAATGAATAGTAACAAGTTGTATTGTGAAATTAATATAATATGTACTGCGTAGTACAAGGAATTACCTAAGGTTTCTTTTACGAACTGTTGTATGCATAATTTATCTACTTAGTTCCACTTGATTTAACTCTACTTGGTATTAGCTGACGTTATAGAGCATTACTAAAGCCTAGACAGTGTTAAGTCTACTTCCCGTAAAACCCTCTTCGTTCTTACGACCATTCACTTAGCGATTTTGTTTTAAAGCTAAGTAAATATTTTGACAACCTTTTGGATTAATTATCACCAAAACAATTTAAAAAAAAACAGACATCGTGAGAGGTGTATGTCAAAGATATTTTTTTAATAATATTATTACTACTAATAGAAATTTAACCAGACAACCTTAATCCATAACTCATATTTTACACGCGTAACCCTCGATATTAAAGAACATGCTTATGACTATCGTATGACAAAATCCAATATAAATTTGTTGGTCGTTTACGCCTTTAGTACACCTACGCGTTCGTATGCGGCTGCGAATCTTTGCGAAATAATTGCGGTAGCGAAATATCTGCGGAACGTTAGTACACTGCAGGTTTTTCGCAAGGATATGTCATTGTAGCTTTCGTTGGCTGTAGGTGCAGACGTCGTTTCAGAATGTCATCTGAGTCGTCCCAGTCGTCGCTTTCAGATTCTGAAGAGGATTTTGTAATCAACATGCCCAACTAAATATAATTCGGGATAATTTCGAATCAAATTCAATAATAATTCAATATTTTCGGCTTCCATTGTGCGAAATTCTGTCCTCACTGACAGAACGCGTGGTGACGCCTTGCGATGCGAAACTTTACTAGCGAAACGTCTGCGTCTGTGTAACAGCCATTTCGCAGTTACTTGCGAAACAATACCGACAAGGACGCAACTATTTCATCTAGCTATATATTAGAGCGAGACAAAACACATGCGAAACGTTGCCATACAACTTACAGTTTTTTCGTCGTTTCGCTGCCGCATGCGATTGCGTAGGTGTACTAAAGGCGTTAGCGTTTACTTACTTAACATCTTACCCTTAACCTCAGACGAAACCGAAATGGTTAGTTATTTAAAAGGATCACATGCTTTATTCAGTGTAGCAACGAACAAAGAATAAAAGCTATAAATTGAAATCAGGGTATTATACAATTCAGATAAAACATTTAACAAACCATGAATTTCTTGAAACGATTCGCAAACGAACGAAGTTTCGCCTCAAACGATCTAATTAAGAGTGGAGGCAATTGCATCCCCCGGCCAGTGTTAATAAACTTAGCTTGCATTGACGTCTTATTGACGGCAGATGAATAAACATCGAGTGTTTATTTCGTGAAATAGCGGTAAACGTGTGTAGTATATTTTTCTCAGGGTGTAGTTCAATATACATCCAAATCAGTTAAGTTTTCTTTATGGCAATAGTTTTAACTTTGTGAGTATCAAGTAATATCAAGTTTAAGGTATGTCATTATTTAAGTGCATCATTAAATGATAGTGCATCTATATGATAAAGGTTAATAAGAGACCAGCTAGTCTGTTCATTATCACTCATTC